GGGTCAGGATGGGAACCCGGGGTGGAGCCCGCTGCAGGTGCGGGAGGGGTGATTCTCCCTCTTGGCTTTGGCCCCTTCCTCCTGCAGGCGCGGTGCAGATGCTGTCCACCACAGTTATCGGGTGTGTGAAAACCCTCGTTCCTTGCTGTTTATATCAGCACAAGGCCCGGCTTTCCTACCCACCCAACTTCCTTATGACGATGCTGTTTGTGGGTCTGATGAGGTAAAGAATCTCACGCTTTGGTTGAGTGTCTCTTTTTCTTTAAATGTAAAGTCCCTGTCTTGTTACTAGAGCGGGGACTCTGCTGGCTGGTGAGTTTTCAGTGCAGAGTTTATAAAAGCGTCAGGGCCGTCCAGATTTTAGGACACCAGGTGAATGTGAATTCGTGGCTCTCGCTGCCTCTTGCGCAGTCAGCTTCTCTCCAGGCTGGTGGTCACAGGACAAGGTGCCTCCTTGTCTCTGGGGCATTTTCAAAGGGTGGCGGATGTCACTTCACGTTGGGCGCAGTGCCATTTCCTGGGGGCTCGACCTAAAGCGTCGCAGAAGCAGGTCCAGGCACCACGTTGGTGATGATGAGGTGGGGAGAGGGGCTGACGTGCCCATTGACCGAGCAGGCCCCTTGGAGAGAGCCTGCCCAGTGGCTGCAGGTGGACAGACTTGTTCTCAGGTAATGTGCTTTCTGCTAATTTTTAGGTTTGCAACTGTGGTTTTGGGTTTGGTCAGCCTGAAAAATGTGGCGGTTTCATTTGCTGAGACGGTGAAGAGCTCCGCCCCCATCTTCACAGTGATCATGTCTCGGATGATTCTAGGGGAGTACACAGGTGAGGCCCCTGGGCCCCACCATCCCAGGCCTTCATCCGCGGTGCCTGTCTTTGCCACCTCCCATGGGGCTCTGCCGAGAGGACCACTCGGAGCGGGGCCCACACTGGCAGTGCCTTCACTTCTCTCCTGAAACATTTTCCCCACGGTCACATGTGCGGGGGTGTCTTGGAGCCTGGTGTCTGCCAGGTCTTCTCACACTGGCATGCGGAGGTCAGGGCAGGGTTGTACCTCATGGCCCTAACTGGGTGGGGAGACAGTTGGGGACTGGGCAGATTCCTGGCAAGCAAGATTACTGCAGGTGCCAATCACTGACTCGAAGAGGATGGGCGGGGGCCGCCTTTGGCCAGCATCACACAGGTGGCTGTGGCTCCTGGTGTATGGGGCAGCCTGTGCCAGCATCCTACAGCCTCCCCAGCGCCCACCACCACAGGCCTCTCCTGGGCCCCAGCCCCTGACCTCAGCTGCAACCCAGGCTCTTGCCTCTCCCACCTCTTAATGACTCACAGGCGATTTCCAGCGACATGTAGGCTCCATGTCGCATACCCAGTGTGGCTGCATGAAAACAAGCGAGGGACAGAGGCACCCACAGAGCGTGGCGTCTTGCACGGAGTGGGGGGGCGGGTATGTACACACGTGTTCGCCTGTTTAAGAAACGACAAGATCTTAAGGCCAAGGCAAATGTCTGTCTGCCTTTGGGGACGGGAGGAGGCCGAGGGTCCAAGGCGGGGTTGGGCGTGCCCCACGTGCACGTGAGACCCGCACACACGTTTAGGTGATTATAACAAAATCAAAGCTTAAAAGTCAACTGCTTCTTTGTTTTTGTGTTGTTGTTGTTGTTGTTGTTTTGAGGCAGGGTCTTGCTTTGTCGCCAAGCTGGAGTGCAGTGATGAGATCACGACTCACTGCAACCTCTGCCTCCCGCTTAGGCGATCCTCCCACCTCAGCCTGTTGGGTAGCTGGGACCTCAGACATGTGCCACCATGCCCGGCTAAGTTCTGTATTTTTGTGTGTGTGTGTGTGTGTGTGTGTGTGTGTGTTTTAAACTGTGAATGTACATTAGTCATTTTTCTTAAAATTGAAACTTGAAACTCTGGGGATTCAGAATTAACAGCCTTGCCTGTGAGCTTCTTCTCGACACCAGAAAAAGTTCCGACCTTGCGTTTCACATTGTTCTGCTGGGCTTTGTCCGAATGAACCCTTGTGAGCTGCTGCTGTCATTTTCATGAGGATTCTCTTGTCCACAATTTCACCTGGGAAGACCGAGTCCTCAAGGATTGTGACGTACGCGACTGTCAGACCGTGGATCCTGGGACACCTTTGCTTATTTTTTGTACACCTTTTTTGAGCTGGTTTACACAGAATTCTCCTCTAAGCAATAGACAGCATACTTCCCAGTGAGCTTTTTCTTCAATTCATGTACTAGCCAGACTTGGATTTTCTGGAATGATTTCAGTGGCAGAACAGGAACAAAAACTATAACTTCCTTTTTTTCATTTTTTTTTTGAGACGGAGTCTGGCTCTGTCGCCCAGGCTGGAGTGTAGTGGCACGATCTTGGCTCACTGCAAGCTCTGCCTCCCAGGTTCTCGCCATTCTCCTGCCTCAGCCTCCTGAGTAGCTAGGACTACAGGTGCCCGCCACCTCGCCTGGCTAATTTTTTGTATTTTTAGTAGAGATGGGGTTTCACTGTGTTAGCCAGGATGGTCTCCATCTCCTGACCTCGTGATCCACCCACCTCGGCCTCCCAAAGTGCTGGAATTACAGGTGTTAGCCACTGTGCCCGGCCCTTTTTTTTTTTCTTTTTTTGAGATGGAGGCTTCCTCTGTCGTCCAGACTGGAGTGCAGTGGCGCAATCTTGGCTCACTGCACCCTCCGCCTCCTGGGTTCAAGCAATTCTCCTGCTTCAGCCTCCTGTGTAGCTGGGATTCAGGAGACTGCCACCACACCCAGCTAATTTTTGCATATTTAATAGAGATGGGGTTTCACCATGTTGGCCACGCTGGTCTCGAACTCCTGCCCTCGTGGTCTGATCTCCCACAGTGCTGGGGTTCCAGGCATCAGCCGCTGCGCCTGGCCTGTGATAACTTTCTGACCACCAGCGACCTCCGTTTCCCTCGCTGCCGTGGTGATCAGCTCCCTGAGCTGAGCCCTGACGTCCGAGTTCATTTCCAGCTCCCGAAGAACTGAGAAGCCAAGAACAGCAGGGCCAACCCTCAGCGCATGTCTGAGCACCCCCGGCCTCACATGTGTGTGTTTTATAGAGATGGGGTCTCGCTATGTTGCCCAAGCTGGTCTTGAACTCCTTGCCTCACGTGATCCTCCTGCCTTGGCCTCCTAGAATGCTGGGATTATAGGCGTCAGCCGCTGCGTCCGACTTTAAAAAGCAATCCTGAAAATCATGAACAAAATGACACAGAGCAACCTTGTTGCCCATCAAACCGTGCAGAAAGGAGCTGTTTATTTCCAGCAAGTTTAAAACGTCGATTTGACCTCCAGCCATGGTAGATGAGATATTAGAAAACCAACTCTCTTGCTGACAACAGTGAGAAAATCTTGATGCCATTTAGCAAAAAGAAGTCTGTGGGGGAGGCGTTGGAGAGTGACGGAGGTGCCAGGGCCTGAGGCACCCAGCTTCCGGAGCCTCGGGCAGCCCAGAGAAGTGACCCTCGGGCAGCCCAGAGAAGTGACCCTGTCTTAAGGCACCACCCTCCCCAGTGCATTTGCTAATGGTTTCTGAGCAGAGCAGTCTCTTGGGGCTGAAGGGGCACAAGCTGGAACGGGCGCGCCACCTTGGGGACCCCCAGACTCCAGACCTTCAGCTGGGATGGGAATCTGGTGCTGGATAAAGGTGTCTGACGCCCCAGCGGCATGTCACCAGCAGCAGCACGTCCTCCCGGAAGGGTGAAACGGCATTCAGTCTCCAGTGTTCTCTACACATTTCATAAATGTTGTCTGGGATTCAACCGGTTTCCAGCAGAGGACGAGACCAGGTGATGGCAAATGAGAGGATGCCCCAGTGGCTGGAGCCTGCCAACACGGACTCGGGTCCCTCTGCTACGCCAGGGTCTCGGCCAGGCTGCATCTGCGGGTTTCCCACGTTAACTTGACTCAGGTTTCTTTTTCTTCTTTTGAGACAAGGTCTCACTCTGTCGCCCAGGCTGGAGTGCGGTGGCGTGATCACAGCTCACTGCAGCCTCGGCCTCCCCAGCGCAGGTGATCCTCCCACCACAGCCTCCCCAGTAGCTGGGACCACAGGCGTGTGCCACCACACCCAGCTAATTTTTGTATTGTTTGTAGAGGCGGGGTGTCCTTGTTGCTCAGCCCTGGGCTCAAGTGATCCTCCTGCCTCGGCTTCCCAAAGTGCTAGGATTACAGGTGTGAGCCATGTTCTGTGGATTTTTAAAAAATTCCTTCACGTAAGTGTTTTGTTATGTTTCAAAAGGAACAGAAAAGCATCAACTCAATGTGGGCGCGCCCCTCCTGGCCCCCAGAGTCTCTCTCTCTGCAGTTCCCGGGGGACATCTTCACACTCACCGTTTCACATCCACAGACCCAGGAAGGTTGCTGAGGCCGCCCGCCCGTGGCTGGGGCTCAGCCTCTGGGAGACGCATCTCATGCAGAGTGAAAGGCGCCACCTTTGCCGTGGGGACGGGACTGGTTCACAGACGTGGACTTCGATTTGCTTTATCTGACAATGTGAAGGAACTGACAAGTATTGTTTTTGAATTGAAGGAAGCGTCCGTTCCTTTTATAAGAGGGAACGGAAACAGCCTGGGCCTCGGGAGGGAGCTTCCACCCGGCGGGTCAGCCACTCACAGGGGCTGTCCTCTTGCCAGGGCTGCTGGTCAACCTCTCCCTCATCCCAGTCATGGGCGGGCTGGCGCTGTGCACGGCCACTGAGATCAGCTTCAACGTCCTGGGGTTCTCGGCCGCGCTGTCCACCAACATCATGGACTGGTGAGTCACAGAGAAGGTGGGTGTGAGGGGGACAAGACCCGGTGCTCCCTTGCCTGCATCTGGGTGTGCGGATCCTCAGATGAGCTGAGAATTCCTCCCGTGAGCCAAAGCAGGTGCATCCTATGCTGCGCTTTCCTAAAGAGCAAAACAGGCCGGGCGCGGTGGCTTACGCCTGTAATCCCAGCACTTTGGGAGGCCGAGGTGGGCGGGTCATGAGGTCAGGAGATCAAGACCATCCTAGCGAACACAGCGAAACCCTGTCTCTACTAAAAAATGCAAAAAATTAGCCGGATGTGGTGGCGGGTGCCTGTAGTCCCAGCTACTCGGGAGGCTGAGGTGGGAGAATGGCGTGAACCCGGGAGGCGGAGCTTGCAGTGAGCCGAGATCGCACCACTGCACTCCAGCCTGGGCGACAGAGCGAGATTCCATCTCAAAAAAGGGAAAAAAAAAAGAGCAAAACAGCAGTTATCCTCGTAAGGTAACTTTCTCAAAAACAAGCCAAAATTTCAGGATGGACAGTCTTGATACTTAAAATACTAACCATGGAGACACGGTTAGTTGATAAATGCTGAAATGCACGGCATACGTTCAGCGGCGTCTCGCTCAGGGCATCTTCACGCGGCTGCCAGAGCAGGGACAGTCCCCCAGCGGCAGGTTCTACCTGTTCGGGAGCTGCGCCACCTCCAGGCCGGGCGGATCCTCTGCTTCCTTGGTGGCCGTCTGTGTCCTGGTGTCACGATGGCAGAGAGGATGAGAGGCCAACTCCCACAGTGAGGACGGCACGTGGCGGGGTCCAAGAGGAAAGGGCCCTGTTACTCATGTCTTTGTCACTCAGTAGAGAAGAGCGGTGGACGCTGCACTTCGGGGCCTGTTCAGATTCACCCAGAATTGGGCGTCCACATCCCTGCTGTGCTGTTAATGGCCACACTCCAGCCCTGGCAAAACTTGCCCTTTGAGAATGACTGGCTTCTAGGCTTTTCCTGCTTTTGAGGAAAGAGAGGAAAAGACACCACCACCGGTGTCTAAGAGTTTATCATTATTACTAATAAGCAAAACAGGTTCATGGTGAGATTTTGAATAATACAGAAGTAAAAATAAAAATCTGTTGGGCACGGTGGCTCACGCCTGTAATCCTAGCAGTTTGGGAGGCTGAGACGGGCAGATCACAAGGTCAGGAGATCAAGACCACCCTGGCTAACACGGTGAAACCCCGTCTCTACTAAAAATACAAAATATTAGCCGGACGTGATGGCAGGTGCCTGTAGTCCCAGCTACTCGGGAGGCTGAGGCAGGAGAATGGCATGAACCCGGGAGGCGGAGCTTGCAGTGAGCTGAGATCTTGCCACCCCACTCCACCCTGGGTAACAGAGCAAGACTCTGTCTCAAAAAACAAAAATCTGTTGGGCGTGGTGGCTCACACCTGTAATCCCAGCACTTTGAGAGGCTGGGGTCGGTGGATCACTTGAGGTCCACCAAGTTGGAGTTGGAGACCAGCCAGGCCAACATAGTGAAACCCCATCTGTACTAAAAATACAAAAATTAGCCAGGCGTGATGGTGGCACCACTGAGGTCTGGTCATTGTCGCCGTCGCTGCGTGTGAGCGCAGACACCTTGTCCCCTGATGTTCCGTGCTGAGGGCTAGTATTGATGCATCACCTCTTTTCTTTATTCTAGTTTGCAAAATGTTTTTTCGAAAAAGCTTCTCAGCGGGGACAAATACAGGTTCTCGTAAGTATTACTCGTCAGTGCAATCTCCAGGTCATAAGACGAAGAGGACTTCCTGCCCACTTTAAGAGTCAGAGCACCCCACAGACCTGACTCCCTTCCTGTCTGGCTTGGGTGGTCTTTACAAGTACCTTGTCTAAGGTCGGGAGGGACCCGCCTGCTTCTCAGCCGCTCCCTTGAGCCCCTCAGCCAGCCTGGCGTGCGTTTGCATTTTCATTTCTGGGAAGCTGCAGCAGCCCTCGTCCTGTCTAGAGAGAATGAACGTCTTGTGGGCTGGGGTGCTGGGTATTCTTGCTGTGAGGAGCTGCGTGTGGACCCGGCCTCTCCCGACACGGCGGGGGCCCAGCGTGTTCTGTTGCCCACAGGGCCCCGGAGCTGCAGTTCTACACCAGTGCCGCCGCGGTGGCCATGCTCGTCCCGGCCCGGGTCTTCTTCACGGTGGGTTTCAGACACAGGTGTCCCGTCCTTACTCGCCCGGCTGCCTTATCTGGTGGTTCAGGGGCAGAATCTTCCCTTTCCAGGCCGTGTGCTGGCTGGTCGTGCCCAGCTCCGCCGCCGCCCTGCTTAGCTGAGGTGCTCTGGGAGCCACTCGGGGTTTGCAGCTCCGATTTTTGTGTGAAGACTTTTATTTTGTTTATTGTTTGTTTTGTTTTGATTCTTCATCATTCAACTTGAGGGGGCTTTTAGGCTAGCTTAATTTCTTTTTTTATCACAAAAACTTTTTTTTTTTTTTCCGAGAAGGAGTCTCGCTCTATATCCCAGGCTGGAGTGCAATGGCGTGATCTCTGCTCACTGCAAAGTCTGCCTCCTGGGTTCACGCCATTCTCCCGCCTCAGCCTCCCAAGTAGCTGGGACTACAGTTGCCTGCCACCACGCCCAGGCAATTTTTTTTTTTTTTTTTTTTTGGGATGAAGTGTCTCGTTGCCCAGGCTGGAGTGCAGTGGCACAAAGGTTCACTGCAACCTCCGCCTCCGGGTTCAAGCGATTCTCCTGCCTCAGCCTCCCGAGTAGCTGGGATTACAGGCGCGCACCACAACGCCTGGCTAATTTTTGTATATTTAGTAAAGAGGGAGTTTCACCGTGTTGACCAGGCTGGTCTCCAATACTTGATCTTAAATAATCCACCCGCCTCGGCCTCCCAAAGTGCTGGACAGGCGTGAGCCACTGCATCTGGCCTAAATATCTTTTTTTTTTTTTTAGACAGAGTCTCGCTCTGTCGCCCAGGCTGGAGTGCAGTGGCGCCATCTCGGCTCACTGTGAGCTCCGCCTCCCAGGTTCACACCATTCTCCTGCCTCAGCCTCCTGAGTAGCTGGGACTACAGGTGCCCGCCACAACACCTGGCTAATTTTTTTGTATTTTTAGTACAGATGGGGTTTCATGGTGTTAGCCAGGATGGTCTTGATGATCTGACCTCGTGATCCACCCGCCTCAGCCTCCCAAAGTTCTGGGATTACAGGCATGAGCCACCGTGCCCGTCCCATGTTAACTATTTTTAAGTGTAAAGCTGAGTGGCCATCACCATCACCCATCTCCAGAACTCTTCGTTTTGCAAAACTGAACCTTTGCCCTCATTCAGTGCTCCCCATTCTCATCCCCCAACCCTGGCACCCCCTTTCCACTTTCTGTCTCTGAATTTGGTGACCCTAAAGACCTCATACAAGTGGAATCATATCACATCTGTCCTTCTGTGTCTGGCTTATCTCACGTAGCATGGTGTTTTGGTGTTTTGAGGTTTACATGTGTTGTTGCATGAATCAGTTTCTTCCCTTCGTATTTTTTGAGACTGGGTCTTGCTGTGTCACCCAGGCTGCAAAGCACTGCAGCCTCATAGCTCACTGTAGCCACGGCCTCCCAGGCTCAAGCGATTCTCCTGCCTCAGCCTCCCAAACAGCTGGGATGGCAGGCATGTGCCACACCTGGTTAATTAATTAATTTATTTATTTATTTTTATTTTTTGAAATGGAGTCTTGCCCTGTCACCCAGGCTGGAGTGCAGTGGGGCGATCTTGGCTCACTACAGCCTCCACCTCCCGGATTCAAGTGATTCTCCTGCCTCAGCCTCCCAAACAGCTGGGATGGCAGGCATGTGCCACACCTGGTTAATTAATTAATTTATTTATTTATTTTTATTTTTTGAAATGGAGTCTTGCCCTGTCACCCAGGCTGGAGTGCAGTGGGGCGATCTTGGCTCACTACAGCCTCCACCTCCCGGATTCAAGTGATTCTCCTGCCTCAGCCTCCCGAGTAGTTGGGATTACAGGTGTGCGCCACCACTCTGGCTAATTTTTGTATTTTTAGTAGAGACGGGGTTTCACCATGTTGCCCATGTTGCAGTGGCACAATCTGTGCTTACTGCAGGCTGGTCTTGAACTCCTGACCTCGAGTTATCTGCCCACCTCGGCCTCACAAAGCGCTGGGATTACAGGTGTGAGTCACCGTGTGCAGCCAGTTTTTTATTTTTTGTATTAACAGGGTCCTACTATATTGCCCAGGCTGGTCTTCTCAGACTCCTGGGCTCAAACCTCGGCTTCTCAAAGGTGGCTCCCACCTGGGATGACAGGCGTGAGCCACTGCACTCAGCCTTTGTCCTTTTTTTTTTTTTTTATTTTTTTAATGAGACAGTGTCTCGCTGTGTCGCCCCACCCAGGCTGGAGGGCAGTGGCACAATCTTGGCTCACTGCAAGCTCCTCCTCCCGAGTTCACACCATTCTCCTGCCTCAGCCTCCTGAGTAGCTGGGACTACAGGCACCCGCCACCACACCTGGCTAACTTTTTGTGTTTTTAGTAGAGATGGGGTTTCACTGTGTTAGCCAGGATGGTCTCGATCTCCTGACCTTGTGGTCTGCCCACATCGGCCTCTCAAAGTACTGGGATTACAGGCGTGAGCCACCGCGTCCGGCCCCTTTTTTCTTTTTTAAGGTTGAATAGTACTCCATTGTGTGGGTAAGACCACATTCTGTTTATTCATCCATCCATTGTGGGTTCTTTCTGCCTTTGGCTGTTGCAAATAATTCTGTAGTGAATGTGGGGATGCAAATATCCCTTAGAGACCCTGCTTTCAATTCTGTGTTTTAGTATCATTTTTTAATAATAGGTACCTCTTTATTAACTCATTAAATAACCAGATCTAGCAGTAAGCCTAGTATCTATGGTAGTTTGATGTAGTGATGAGGGTAAACAGTATTTCAGGGTATCAGCAACAACTGCTAACAGGATATGAAAGTATCTGTAGTTTTGTTTTTTGTTTTTGTTTTTTTTTTGAGACAGAGTTTCACTCTTTATTACCCAGGCTGGAGTGCAGTGGCGCAATCTCAGCTCACTGCAAACCGCCGCCTCCCGGGTTCAAGCGATTCTCCTGTCTCAGACTCCTGAGTAGCTGGGATTATAGGCATGCACCACCACACCCGGCTAATTTTTGTATTTTTAGTAGAGATGGTGTTTCACCATGTTGGTCAGGCTGGTCTCAAACTCCTGACCTCAGGTGATTCACCTGACTCGGCCACCCAAAGTGCTGGCATCACAGGCGTGAGCCACTGCGCCTGGCCTATCTGTAGTATTATAGTTTATTCCCAACATTCATAATTGAATGAAATGCTGAGTTTCAAGTAAAGGTTAGTAAAGATAAAGATGCAGTTTTTTCCCAGTTGAGTTCATGGACCTTCTAAATGCAATTTGTAGACTTCCCTAGAGTCCCCCACACAGAGGGTTCTCTGTGCGAGGTGCAGTTGCAGGTTCTTATCTTATTGTCGTTTTCTGGATTTTAATCCGTTAGCTGTCAAGGCTGGCTGACTTGGCCGTTCTCCCTGCGAGGAAGTTGTGGCTGCCGGCCGGGGCCATCAGTTCTTGTGGGTGTGTACCCAGCAGTGGAACTGCTGGATTATATAATAATTCTGTGTTTAATTTTTTTTTTTTTTTTTGGAGATGGAATCTCACTCTGTTGCCCAGGCTGGGGTGCAGTGGTGCAATCTCATCTCACTGCAGCCTCCGCCTCCCGGGTTTAAGTGATTGTCCTGCCTCCCTCCTGAGTAGCTGGGATTACAGGCGCACACCACCACGCCTGGCTAATCTTTAGATTTTTAGTAGAGACGGGGTTTCACTGTGTTGGCCAGACTGGCCATGCCCGGCCCTTCCTTGGGGTTTCTGTTGCATTTTCCTGCTGATGGTGATGTTCGGCTGCTTTCATGTGCTTGTTGTCTGTTTGCATCCACATGGTGAAAACTAATTAGTGCAAAAAATAATGGAAAAAAAAACAGAAAATGGATGAGTGCACAGTTCAGCTCTCCGCCCTAGAGGCATTTTCATAGCTGTCCTCAGTGTCAGCAGCTTTACCCAGTGTCTGGGCAGGAGTGGCACTGGGCGTTTTTGGTGGATGATTAGTAAATGGAAAATGCAAACCAATAGAATATCGTTTTGTTTTTGCCACATAGGATGTCCCAGTGATCGGGAGGAGCGGGAAGAGCTTCAGCTACAACCAGGACGTGGTGTTGCTGCTTCTGACAGATGGAGTCCTGTTCCACCTTCAGAGCGTCACGGCCTACGCCCTCATGGGGAAGATCTCCCCTGTGACATTCAGGTGAGCAGGGGAACTTCCAGGAGCTGAGGGTGTCCAGGTCGTTTCGAGAGGAGACTAAAAATCTAGGTATTTTTATAAGAGACACATGTGGCCAGGCGAGGTGGCGGGCGTCTGTAGTCCCAGCTACTCAGGAGGCTGAGGCAGGAGAATGGCGTGAACCTGGAAGGCGGAGCACTCCAGGTTCACTCCAACAGAGCGAGACTCCTTCTCAAAAAAAAAAAAAAAGAAAGAGACACATGTGATTCTCTTCCACGGGGATGACTGTGGCTGTGCACTGTAATTACTAGGCCATTTTATACCCATGCCGTTTGAAATGCAAATGATAGGCCGGGCCCAGTGGCTCACGCCTGCTGATCCCAGCACTTGGGAGGACAAGGCAAGTGGATCATTTGAGGTCAGGAGTTCAAGACCAGCCTGGTCAACATGGTGAAACCCTGTCTGTACTAAAAATACAAAAAAATTAGCCAGGTGTGGTGGTGCGCCTGTAATCCCAGCTACTGGGGAGGCTGAGGCAGGAGAATCACTTGAACCCGGGAGCCGGAGGTTACAGTGAGCTGAGATCACGCCACTGCACTCCAGCCTGCGTGATGAGAGCGAGACTCCATCTCAAAAAAAAAAAAAAAAGAAATGATAAACCGTAAAATAAACTGTAAACTGTGTGAAATAGGTTTTTAGGGAAATCTCCACTAGACGTCTTTGCATTTGACGGTTTTTGAAATTGAGTGCTTTTCCGTCTAGAATAGCAGGGTGCCTCGACTAGTCTTGTCTGCAGGAATGGAATGGTCTCTTCTGGGCTGTCCAGTGCAGCAGCCACTGGCCACATACAGCTGCTGAGCACTTGAAATGTGGAGAATGTAACAAGGACCAGATTCTGAATTCAAGCTGATTGTCGTCAGTTTGAACTTGAACAGACACCTGTGGTCACTGGTTCCTGTGCCGCGCAGCGCAGCTCTAGAAACGGGGGTGAGGCTCCTTCGGCTTCTTTCCACTTCTGTAACTGAACAGACTGAAGTTGCAATTTATTTATTTATTTATTTTATTTGCCCCAAAACGGAGTCTTGCTCTGTTGCCCAGAGCTTGAGTGCCGTGGTGTGATCTCGGCTCACTGCAACCTCCGCCTCCGGGTTCAAGCGATTCTTCTGCCTCAGCCTCCTGAGTAGCTGGGATTACAGGCCAATGCCACCATGCCCGGCTAGTTTTTGTATTTTTAGTAGAGACAGGGTTTCGCCATGTTGGCCAGGCTGTTCTCAAACTCCTGACCTTAGGCAATCCGCCCGCCTCGGCCTCCCATAGTACTGGGATTATAGGCGCGAGCCACCACGCCCAGCCAAAGGTGCAATTTGAAGACGAAACTAGCCAGGAGGACTGGAGGTCGAGGCGGGCGGATCGCCTGAGCTCAGGAGTTCAGGACCACCCTGGGCAACGTGGTGAAACCCCATCTTTACTAAGACACAAAAAATTAGCCAGGCCTGGTGAGATGTACCTGTAGTCCCAGCTACTTGGGAGGCTGAGGCATCAGAATCACTTCAGCCCAGGAGGCGGATGTCGGAGTGAACCGAGATCACGCCACTGCACTTCAGCTTGGGCTACAGAGTCAGACTCCGTCTCCAAAAAAAGAAAAAAAAGACTGGAGACTTTTTGGTGGCAAATACAAAGGAACGAGGTTATGTCACCAGCAGGGGTAGAAGTCCCCGCGACTGGCAGCAGCAGCCGCCTCACATCCTATTGTGGAAGTCAGCGGCCCTTTTTTCTGAAACTTCTGATCTATCATGAGGCGGCGGAATGGTCCCCAAACATGAAGTGAAAATGAAAAGCAGATGTTGGGGCCGGCGGGCGTGGGGGACAGTCAGGCGTAGCTCTCCCTCTTCTCTGCTTTCCATCTGGTCCAAGTCAGTGCGGTAAATTCTCAAATACCCGTCGGAGCTGGTAGCCGCGCCCCGCGCACTCAGCGTTCCACAGCTGAGAAACGAGCTTGCGCCTCCTCTCACCAGCAGGCCCCGCAGGCCACACACCGAGCCGTCTCATCCATGGCGCTGCCCTGCCCCACGCTTCCTGCATCCTGAGCAGGAGGTGTCTCCGAGACAGGAAAACTGGCTGTGCTTTCTGAGTTTTTCTGAAGTTCGCAGTGGTCTCCTGGGCTTGGTCACTGTCTCTCACCAGCATGTTTCTTTCTGGGGTCAGGAATTATTTCCAAATGCTCTTGAAGCCTAGTGTTTTAGTGAACATTAGTGATTGTTAGCAGTGGTTTAAAAAAAATAATAAAACCTTTTTTATTTTTTGAGACAAGGGTCTTGCTCTGTAACCCAGGCCGGAGTGTGGTGGTGCCGTCTCAGCTCACTACAGCCTCCGCCTCCCTGACTCAAGTGATCTTCCCACCTCAGCCTGCTGAGTAGCTGGAACTGCAGGTGTCCACCACCACGCTGGGCTAATTTGTGTTCTTTTTGTTGTTTTTTTTTTTAAACCAGAGTCTCACTCTGTCGCCCAGGCTGGAGTGCAGTGACGTGATCTCAGCTCACTGCAACCCCACCTCCCAGGTTCAGGAAATTCTCCTGCCTCAGCCTCCCAAGTAGCTGGGATTACAGGCGCCCGCCACCACGCCCAGCTAATTTTTCTATTTTTAGT